ATGCCAGCATGCGCAATTAAATATGTCAATATTGTACATACTGTTAATAATTTTAAAGTATTAATTCAGAAAAAAAGTGCATTTAGTTAAAACGATATGTACACGAATATATAAACAAATACAATTCAGAACTTCATCCACTTTCCCTGATCTTCAATCTTATTTCAAACTGAAGCAACATGGATAAAATCTTTGCAGGAGAAATAGACTTTTCAGACAATTAATTAAATGTGACCACCACAGGGGGCAGTGTCGCTCTGACCGGCTGCGATTTTAGGAAACGAAGAAGAAGAACTAGTCCAGTTCGACGCATGCGCAGTTTAATGTCCGGCTGCCGTTAACACCGGGTAATCGACTTTATTAACTAAAGTAATAATGCTGTTTTAATAATTAAAATAGTAGCTTTTGTTCTTTTTGTATTTTGATGTTTATCCCTTTTAAATTGTGTTATTGTCTGTATGTTTGTTCGCAGTTTGTTCTTTGTTATGGAGAGATGCTGTAGGTAGGAAGAACTAAACGGCTACTACTACTAGCAACTTTTTTATTTATTTTTTGCCTGAAACTTGACGTAGTGCCTTACAAAAATGACTTAAATGCATATATGTTTAACTTTAAGGTAAAAGTAAAGCCTTTGTTATGAATGACGCAGTTTTATTTCGCTGATAATGCTCACTCATCGTGTGTGCCTTGATTCAAATTTCCGCCAAACTCCATTCAAATATTGCCCAATTTAAGAAATCCCTGCTTGTTTGACCAGGACATCAAGCAATTCCAACAAATCTTTTTGACAGAGATCTTTTTCAAGTATTCGGTTTTAAGTTAGAAGTAAAACAACGAGTTTTAATGTAAATTTTAAACTCTTAAGCACGTGGCGTATATGCATTTGCATGTGCTTCTTTGACGGCGTGGCTCTTTTCTGTTTTCACTTTTATTCAGGAGAATCTTATGCACCCTTTAAATAGATTATAAGCTCCATTGCTTATGCAGACACGTAGAACTGTTCCAAGTGCCATTTCTGGTCATATCTCAAGAAACTGAGAAGAAAAAAAACGTGTTTCTCACTGAAAACTTGTGTTCTTACGTTTCATTCAAAGCGTCAGCAGGGATGGTTCTGGTCCTTGCTCCTCGCCTCCACCAGCCTCACCTCCTCCTCCTAACGTCCTTCCTTCCCCTCACCATCCAGTGTCTCCTTCCCAGACTCCCCCTCCTCCTCCTCCTCGTCACCACCTACAACAGCTGGGCTCTGCAGGAGCCATGGTAGACGTCAGCAAGTGGCCCCTGTTCACGGTGCTGAGCAGCGAGGAGCGAGCCGCGGTCCGACAGGCCTGCGTCTTCGGGACGTCGGCCAACGAAGCCATCTACGTCACTCGTGCGAACGAGGTGTGTGAAACGCTCGCCGTCCGGTAATCCTTTTGTGTTGATAGGAGTTTTCATTGGACGTTTTGTGTCGTCAGATGTTTGCGTTCGGCTTGAACTGCAGCGGCTGCCTTGGAACTGGAGACGGCGCGAGCGCCATTGTGCCCAAGAGACTGGACTTCCTGAGGAGAAAGAAGGTGGTCAGTTTCAGCTACGGCAGCGGACCTCATGTGTTGTTAGCCACAGAAGGCAAGCTATTCTCCCGTACCGCCAGCTAGTTGAAGCAGCTGGTTTATAACTTCTAATGGCGGGCAGGCGTCTTTGTGCAGGCGGTCATCTGTTCGCCTGGGGGCACAACGGTTACAGCCAGCTGGGGAACGGCTCCACCAACTCCAGCCTCTCCCCGGTGTCCATCACGGCCAACCTGCAGAACCTGAAAGTGACCGAGGTGGCATGCGGCTCGCACCATTCTCTAGCTCTCACTCTGGAGGGAGACGTAAGTGTTTAATTTGATCTTTTTGCATTTCGTTTACTGGTTTAGAAACTGTATTATTGCATTTTTTTTCTCTCTGTAATCTATGTAAACTTTAGCTAAAGGAGAGTTTAAAGTGTTTTCTTTTAAGTCTTTCAGCACATGACAGGTGTGTAACTGGTTCCTACATCCCGGTAGGTTTTTGCGTGGGGGTATAATAACTGTGGCCAGGTGGGCTGCGGCTCCACAGCCAACCAGCCGTACCCCAGGAAGGTCACCGGCTGCCTGCAGGGGAAGACCGCAGTGGGCGTCTCGTGTGGACAGACCTCCTCCATCGCTCTGGTGGACAACGGCGAGGTAAAGGAGGTTTTTATTTGGTCATCTTAAGGAATCTGAACTCCACGACAGGTTGTTTTGTCTTGTTAGGTTTACAGCTGGGGCTCCAACGGGAATGGGCAGCTAGGTATTGGGACTAATGGAAACCAGCTGTGTCCTTGCCGCCTTGCTGAGCTCCAAGGGAAGTGCATTCAGCAGGTGAGACACCAAATGGCCTCACTCGATTTTATTCAATTCAGTTTATTTATATATCACCAAATCACAACAAAGTTGTCTCAGGGCACTTTACAGAAACATTCACATACAGAAAAGCCAATTAGTAGTTCTCTATCTAAGGATTATCTGTTAGATCACGGTCTGGATGTTTATGAAGCATTTACTCTATTGCAATCCATTTTTCTGTGATCCATTTTTCTGTGATCCATTTTTCTGTGATCCATTTTTCTTCTATACGTTTTTCTGCGCGACTCTTGTCCCCCAGTTTTTTGTGCTATTTCAACAAATCATAAATTAAAACGTTCGGCTCTTCCAGGACAATCCTGCTGTGACTTTTGGTATTGGTGCAGCTTTAGCTTTTTGAAATATTTAGCCTGTTTTGCCATTTTTTTTCCCTTAAAGAAAATGAATTGAGCTCATTTTACATCCTTCAAATCTTTAGATGTGTTTACAACCTTTAACTGCTCCTTTCACATTTTGTTCTGCTTCAGCTTCTTTCTGCAAATTTAAACTGTTTTTCAGCTACTTTCAGCTAATTTCTGCTGTTTTGCTCCTTTCAAGATTATTTCTGCTAACTACATTTTTATCCTTCTAACTTCTTTCTGCTAATTTCAGTTTATTATGTTCCTTTCAGCTTATTTCTGCAAGCTTCAACATTTTCTGCTGTTTCAGCTACTATTTAGCTGTTTGTATGCTAATTTTAGCTTTTTCAGGTAATTCCATGTGTTTTGCACTCCTTTCAACTTTTTTCAGCCTATTTCAGCTTTCTTCTGCTAATTTAAGCTTTTTCTACATTTTCAGCTACTTTTTAGCTGTTTTTTGCTAAACTTAGTTTTTTCAGCTAATTCCACATTTTTTAGCTCATTTCAACTCCTTCCACCTCTTTCTGGTAATTTAAGCTTCTTTCTGCCGTTTCAGCTAGCTTTTTAGCTGTTTTTGTTGTAAACTAAACTTTTTCAGCTAATTCCACATTTTTAGCTCATTTCAGCTCCTTCCACCTCTTTCTGGTAGTTTAAGCTTTTTTCTGCTTTTCAGCTACTTTTCAGCAGTTTTGTGCTAAACTTAGCTTTTTCAGCTAATTCCACTTTTTTTAGCTCATTTCAGCTCCTTCCACCTCCTGGTAGTTTAAGCTTCTTTTTGCCTTTTCAGCTACTTTCAGTTACTTTTGAGCTGTTTTGTGCTAAACTTAGCTTTTTCAGACAATTCCACTTTTTTTTTTTAGCTCATTTCAGCTCCTTCCACCTCCTTCTGGTAGCTTAAGCTTCTTTCTGCCCTTTCAGCTACTTTTCAGCTATTTTCTTTTGCTAAATTCCTAATTTTTGCGCTCATTTCTGCTTATTTAAACCTAATTCAGCAAACTTTTTTTTCTTTCTGCTTTCTTCTGCTAATTTAGGCTTGTTCTTCCATTGTTTTTAGCTAATTTTAGCTGTTTTTCCGCAAGCTCTTCAACAATAAGCAAGCATTCACACAGCATTTTCGCAGGAAATGTAATTCCTCTAGTTATTTATTTATTTTACTGCAAAGCTGTGCAACACAGTCAGCTCTTGTCTGTTTTCCAGGTCGTCGCGGGCTACGCACACTGCCTGGCGCTGACGGATGAAGGGCTGCTGTACGCCTGGGGAGCAAACGCTTATGGGCAACTGGGAACCGGCAGCAAGAGCAACCACCTGAGTCCTGTGCAGATCATGGCCGACAAGGAGAGGTGTGGTGAAGACTGACCCTTCCTGCTTCCTGTCTTTGTTCCGTCACCGCAGTTCAACCCTAAACGGGCATTTCTTGTTTCGGTGTGTGAATGCGTGACCGCGCCTCTTCTTCTGCAGGGTCGTGGAAGCTGCAGCCTGCCACTCTGCGCACACTTCTGCAGCCAAGACGCAGAGCGGAAAGGTACGCAGCTTTGCATTGTTGGCAATTTGATCCTACGTTAGCTCATTTTGAAACGGACAGTTTTTTTTAAAGGATTTTTGATCAGAAAAAGTTTTTTTTTTGTTTGTTTTTAAGTGGATTGTCAAATTTTTAGGAAAGACGGATGTGTTTTGTTTTTATCCCTTCGTAAACTTTCTCTCATCCCGCCCATAACTTCATCCGTTCGAGATAATTTAACAAAGCATAACACACCAGCAACGCACGGCCTGCTGTGTAATTTTTTTCATCACCCCAGCTCTAAGGTCAAGGTCACAAATCAACAGGACCATGCTGCTAGTTGGACCATGCTGCTAAAGGGACCACGCCGCTAGCAGGACCATGCTGCTAATGGGACCACACCGCTAGCAGGACCATGCTGCTGAAAACCTCACTGCTAACATTACCATGCTGCTGGTGGTGCCACGCTGCAAACAGGACCACGCTGCAAACAGGACCACGCTGCAAAC